TTTCTGACATACATGTGGTCTAGATTTTTACGATGTCTTTACGATCCTCAATCTAAAGGTTACAAATATAGCAAAGATAACAATAACCATATAATAAGTAAAATAGCGCGGTTATAACAACTATATTTACTATATATATATATATATATATATATATATATATATATATATATGTTGGTAATAGACCATAATTTTTACAACATTCTATAAATTCTACCGAATGTTTGGCGTTAATATGTTTGTAGTTCGATTTTTCTCACTAAAGTTTTTTGGTGAACGTTTAGTTTATTAAAATTCAAAATAAACTTATTTTTCGAATTCATGCTGCAAATAAGGCCATATTTCGATTCCGAATGAATCATCAGTGCTCCTTGCTGTATTTATAGGGAAATATTGACTTTGTCAAGATGAACTTTGACGTTGTAAAAATTAACTTTGGTGTTGTAAAATTGAACTTTGATGCGAATTAGGTGTCAGGTTTCTTTATTGGCTGGTCATCTTCTTTGGTCTCCTTTTCTTCATCGATAGCATCATATTCTTCTTTGTCACTATTTACGATGCTAGTTTCTTTTACTTCTTTATTTTCGTTGTTGGTTAAGCGCCGGGTTGGAAGTGAGGTTGTCATTTTTTTTGTATATTTATTTATTTTTGGTTTATTGATGTCAATTAGGACTGCTTCTGCAATTTTAAGATGCGTGTAGTTGCTGTTCTGGTATATATATATATATATATATATATATATATATATATATATATATATGCACCAGTTTATGTATGCACCATCGTCGGCATTCTTCCGTCTGGGGAAACTATAACCAAAGTTAATGAATCCTACACCCGCCGAGAATGGCTAAGCAGACCAATTCTGGAATGACAATCTCTAGGCTCTACCACATCAGACACAGATAAAGGCTGTTGGCTGACCATATATATATGTATAAATATACTATATACATATATATACATTTATTTAGAATGAAATATTTATAAATATTTAAAGAATATATTTGCTTACTTTCCATAATCTGATTTCTATGTGTAAATTTTTTGATATGCTTTGGTACTTGAATATATATATTATATATATCCATGGTGCCATATTAACGGAAGTGCTTTGTTTCTTCGGCTGGTAGGTTATTATCGGCAGAATTTTATTTGATAAATAAATTTATTTATTAAAAAAATGGCTTTAATGGGCGATCACAGCAAAAGGAAGATTTGCTATTATTATGATGGTTTGTTAAAAATTTTTTTTCATTCCCCAACTTTTTTTTAACTATTCAGATCACTTATTATCGTCCTTCTGGCGAGTCCGCTGTTTGACAAAATTTTAAAGTTTTTCCAGTTTTCAATTCAAAAAAATTGATAGTGTGAATTTAATTAATGACAGGTGATATAGGGAATTATTATTACGGACAGGGGCACCCTATGAAGCCCCAGCGAATTAGGATGTGCCACAATCTCCTGCTCAATTATGGACTGTACAGAAAAATGGAGATATATGTTAGCTTTTAGTTTTTCACAATTTCAAATTTCTAACTTTCATAAAAAATCTTAAGCTAAAGTAAAAAAGTTGATCAACATTTTTGGAAACTTAGCGTCCCCATAAGGCTTCACAAGATGAGATGACCCGATTCCACAGTGACGACTACATAAAGTTCCTGAAGAGCATACGGCCAGACAACATGTCCGACTTCAACAAACAGATGCAGCGATGTGAGTAATGTTTCAAACAGTTCATCTAATGAAATTGACTATTTCTGTAGTTATGAATTAATAATAAATTACTATATTGTAAATTCTTTTTTTAGGTTTTGTTTCAAATTTGTTCATAAATTTGTACGTAGTTTTGAGGTTTGATTTTATATGATGAGGTTTTAGGTTTTTTGATATCTTTCATGGTTTGAGTTTTTGAATATGTATAATGGTGACAACTGAATGCTTTCTTTATGTATGTTATAATCATCTTCATATTTAAATTGTTGGTTGTTTCAAATTACTTTTTATTTAGGTTGACTGATTGGATTGATTGCCTAACAAATCAAAATTAATTTATGACCACTAACGTAAAAACATAAGTTAAAAACATTCAAAGTGCAAAATTTTTTTTATGGCAATGATTTTGTATTATTAAATGTTTTTTAATTGATTCTATATTTAATTTTATTAATTTATCTAAGCCATCAGTTAAAAGAAAAAGGATTAAAATTTATTTGATGTTGAATTTAAACTGGTGGCCATATTAATAACGACATAACTGCTTCCAAACATTCATAAAAAAAACTGCCATTGAATGGTTTGGCAATGAACTATGTCACATTGTTTCATTGTTTATAATTATTTCTGCTATTGTTACTATTGTTATCTTTTTTTTGTCAATGCTTTTTTAGTGATTTCTAATATGTAGAATCTTACTTGGTCAATATTGTAATATTAATAGTTAACATTTAATAATAATAATTATTATTTATCATTATAATTTATGGCTACTATGCATAGATAGCTGCAATGTAATACACAGTATAATTTTTAACATGATACACGAAACGTATACCCTTACATTAAGAAGGTGAAGATATTTTTCTACATATTTCCATGTTTTGGCAATGTTATTTATACATTTTTTTTTTCTATTCTTTTTTTCATAAATGTTGTAAACTTGTCGTAAACTTTGTTGTAAATGCAGTCAACGTCGGTGAGGATTGCCCTGTGTTCGACGGCCTTTACGAGTTCTGTCAGCTGTCTACTGGAGGGTCCATTGGTTAGTTTCTTATGCTGTTTTGTTTATTTGTCTACTCTTTGACTTATTATTTTAATTTATATTATCTTATCTTTTCTATTTTTATCTTTATTTATTGTTTTGTTGTTTTTTTACATATTACATTTGTGTTTGTTAGTTATTGGCTTATTAGTACTAAATTTTAATTATTTGCTTAAATTGTAGTGATCATTATTATTATTGTTGTTGCTGCTGTAGTTGTTGTTGTTGCGTTTGTTTATTTGTATATAAATACAGTTGTGTATCTTGACAATTTTGAAAATGTTTAAATTTTGATCTTTTTTGAAAAAAAACCTTAGTGATGAGGCGAGACTTATGGTAGCGAGGCCAAAATTAGACGAATTGGCAATCTTTTTTTACTAGTCAGGCTAATTTTTGAGCCAATTTTCTACATAAACATTTTTTATGCGAAAACTGACCTTAATGACAATACTGCTCACAACAGCAGCTGGTTTCTTCTAGATCCTCCACTGTATAGTTTTTTACTTTTTGAATTATTTGAGTGCCTTTCTATTCAAGTTTTTGCAATTGGAATCAATTTTTGACTGTTCCAATTTTCATTGTTAAATTTTTTAATTTTAGTTTTTGTCTGTTTGAGTATTACATAATCTTAGCATAATCTGTAGTTACAATAATGTTATGATTCTTTAGAGTTCAGGTTAAAAATACGTGTATTCGAAATTTTTTTCTCGTCAACATTTTGATGGAGGAATCAGTTTCAAGAATATTATTAAATTGTCAAAGATTGTTGAGAAGGTTATCATGTGTATATTTTCTCTCAGCAAGAGCGAATTTCAATGAATAGTTGATACTTCTGGTCTTAAAGACAAGTTTTACTTTTATAAAATACTGAATAATGTTATTCCATCCTGCACCACGGATGCATTCCAGCTGGGGCAGTGAAGTTGAACAAGCAGGCGACAGACATCGCCATAAATTGGTCAGGTGGCCTGCATCACGCCAAGAAGTCTGAGGCATCTGGATTCTGTTATGTCAATGATATTGTACTGGCCATACTGGAATTGCTCAAGTTAGATTATGATGGTTTTTGTGTCAGTATGTGTGTCTGTGTTTGTGTAACTGTGTGATCATTATCTATCTAGTCATACATTCTTTTGTGCATTTATCTGTTTATTTATTTATCCCCCATTGCTCTTCACAGATACCATCAGAGGGTGCTGTACATCGACATAGACATCCACCATGGTGACGGTGTGGAGGAGGCCTTCTACACCACGGATCGTGTCATGACAATGTCCTTCCACAAGTATGGTGAATACTTTCCAGGAACCGGTGATCTCAGGGTTAGTAGCAGATTGGTTGGTTGGTGGGGTTTTAGGCTAGTTGGTTTTTTGACTAGATGCTTTGTGGATTTGCTGTTTAGTTAACTTGTTAGTTGGTTGGCTCTGATTGAAGAATGGTAATGCTTATTGAGATTATTAAACTTACAAGTACACGCAATGCCTAATTTCATTTAGAGTTATTTTCAGTTAGGCTTCCGATTAATATCTTTACCATAACACCATCTTTGTTATTCAAAGATTTTATATTATTTCAAATTATTTATAGGACATTGGAGCTGGCAAGGGCAAATACTATGCCGTAAACTTTCCATTGCGAGATGGCATCAATGATGAGTCCTATGAACAAGTTTTCCAACCTGTTAGTTCTTTGTTGTTTTTTTTTAGTTTCTTTGGTTGTTTTTGTTGTTGGTGTAATCAATCTTCGTCTGATTTTAATAGTGTTGCAGTTGTTGTTGCAAATGCTCGGGTGGATCTTGTTGGCCTGGCCGTCACACTTAGTGTTGTTGTTTCTTATTTTCTTGCTGTTAATTATATCACTTGTCTCGTTAACTATGTTGTTTATTATGCCATTGGTTATACTTGGTTCTACTACTCTTCCAGGTGATGTCCAAAGTGATGGAGATGTTTCAGCCATCGGCAGTTGTTCTTCAGTGTGGTGCTGATTCCCTGTCAGGTGACCGGCTGGGATGCTTCAATCTCTCACTGAAGGGACACGGCAAGTGTGTCGAGTTCGTTCGTCGATTCAACCTTCCAACCCTGATGGTTGGCGGTGGGGGCTACACCATCAGGAACGTGGCCAGGTGTTGGACCTATGAGACTTCCATCGCCCTTCAGACTGAAATTGCTAATGGTTGGTTTGTTTCTCAGATGTCTCGAATGTCTTACTGGTTGATTAATTGACAGTCTGTTTGTTTTGCTCACGTGAATAATGTTGTTACCTCTTAATCACTTCAACTATTTGAAAATTATTAATTATTGTTTGGTGATTATTCTCGATTTAACAATTAATGGTAGCTTCTTCTTTTTCAGAATTGCCATACAATGATTACTTCGAGTACTATGGCCCCGACTTCAAACTGCACATCAACCCGTCCAACATGACCAACCAGAACACCACCGAGTACCTGGACAAGATCAAAAGCAGATTGTTTGAAAATCTCAGAATGCTGCCACATGCTCCCGGGGTGCAGATGGCTGGTTGGTTGGCTGCTGTTTGTTTGTCTGTTTGTTTGTTTGTATCTTCACATTGCATGTTCACATTTGTTGCTTAATATATTGTTTGCTGGTTTGTTGTTGTTGACAACTGATTAGTGAAGTTGACTAACTCATTGTCTGTTTTTGATCAACTCGATTATCGATTGATTGTATTGATGTTTCTCACCTGTCAGATATAGTTGATGATGCTTTGAAGGAGGAAAGTGATGATGAAGATAAGCAAAATCCAGATGAAAGAATATCAAGTTAGTGATGTCGTGTTTGTGAGTGATGTTGTATGTGAGGTATGTGATGTTGCATGGGGTTTTGTATGTGATGCTGTATGAGTTGTTGTATGTTTAGTATGTGTTATATGAGATGTTGTATGTTGCCTGGTTGTTATTTTATGTTTTGTTGTAAGCTTTGAATATGACGTCACTTCCGGTTGCTGTGTTGTTTGCACATGCATCCTCCTCCAGTTACTTAGTTATCCCATTACTGCTGTTGCATTTGTTTGTTAAATTTTGCTATAATTTGTTGTTATTAATGTACAAAAATTTGTTTAAACTTCTGCAACAACAGTAAGAGCCAGCGACAAGCGGATTGCGTGCGACGACGAGTTCTCAGATAGTGAGGACGAAGGTGGAAGAACGACCACCGCAGATGGACAGAAAAAAAATAAAGAAAGTAATAGAACAAAGAGGATGAAGTTGGATGATGAAAAGAATTCAGCTTCTACTTCCACTACCACCAGCGTCACCACCACCGTTACTACTACTGCTTCTGCTGCTACTGTGGTCGGTGGAGCCGGGGATGGTACAGGCGTCGCTGGTTAGTTGATTGATGTTGATGGTATGCTAGATGGACATTGAGGTGGCTCATTGATGTAACATAAATAAGGTCCTGTGTTGAATTGACTGGGTTTAAATGCAAACAAATCCCCTAGTGCTGGTGATGATTAAGATGACGTTTTATGATAATGGTGATGATAGTGATGATCAGCTGCCTGTGATGATGATGATGATGATAAGGTGTGGCTCTCTGGTTTGGAGAGGAAGGTTGATTTTACTAGTCCGGTGTTTTGGTGGTGATGACAGTAACATTAGTAAGACAGTGGCAGTAAATTGTAAAATTTCAATTAAACAGTTGATGCCAAGGACGTGAAAGTTGATCTTCCAAAGGACACGATCAACCAGATATCGTCAACATCGTCGTCATCTACATCAACAGCAAACACACCACAGCAGTCGGCAACAACAACGGTAGCAACATCGTCGTTAACGACAACAGCTCCATCGACTTCCAACTCCACAATAGATCCAATAAAAGCCCCCACAGCAGTTGTCGACTCATCCTCCAATTCCCAAATTACCATGGTAACTGCCAATAGCAAATCTGATGCCCCATTGGTAGCCAAACAAGACAAAGCCCCTTCCACATCAACTCCTCCTCCATCTCTGACAACCAATAGTAATGCCACCAGCCTGACGAATACTACAATTACTTGTACTACTTCATCCGTATCGTCCGTTGTTGAAAGTAGCGAGCATACTGCCCAGTGAGGGAGATTGAGAAGTTGACTGTTTACACAACATGATCATTAAAATCGTTTGTTAATATACATAGATAGTGTACAATGTAATCTTCTGACCGACAGTTTTTATATTCTTTGTACTTATTATTATCGCCCATTATTATTTTTATTACTATTGTTGTCCTCATCCTTTTATTGCCACTACCCAATATTATATCATCATTATTGCTGTTTTCAAGTAAGTTTGGAAAAAAAATAAAGTTTTAAAATTAAAGTAGGCAAATGTGTTATAACATTGGTAAACTATATTTATTTATTTGTTTATTTATTGTTTTCAGTCATAAATAAAAATCTTTATGAACAATTTATCGACAATATTTATTTTTTATATAATAAACTTTGTTAGTACGTTAGTGATTCGTTACGTGTTGACAGCATTTTTAATCAGAAAAGGTACACAGCGATCACAGACATATCCATCTCCTATGTAGTTATATCAGTGCTGACCGGTACGCATGTATTTAAGAAGCAACATGTGTACCTAAGTGCTTATACCAGGTACCTGTGAGAAATCGTACATATAATTGAGCCTTTTTGTTAGTATTTGTACTTATAAATAATGAAATTTTCTTTAAATACTGAAATTTTGTAATTCTACACTCAGCTTTGACACCTTTTTGGGTCGGATTTTAGATTTGAGCCAGATTTGTCACCTAAGTTCCAATGTATATATGCTTATGTATGTACGCATCTATAATTGTGTGTGTGTTTGTAAGCATATATGTACATGTTTACACAATGTACATTTGTTTTTATGTGAACAATTAAAACGAACATGTATGTAAGTGTATACTCAACAACGAACGTTAAGTAGTGTATAAGCAAAATGATTTGAAGCGAGATGAATTGCGATTGTATCGATTGGATCATCTGATGTGACCATCTTTGCTATATCTTACTTTCAAGTTACCAGATATACCGCACCATGCACTGATAAGAAACTTGATGTTAGCATGTGTGGTGCGTGTATAAGATGCACGTCACGCGCGTACGTCAAACATGCATTTGATGTGCGTGACGTGTTTAAACGTATGTTAGTTTTCACGCATACCTACGTTTTGTATTTGACAGCACTTACGGAAATAAATTAATTCAAATTGATTGTTAAATTATCGGGTAATGCTATGGATGTTTTGGAGCAAAGTTTTATTCTGAATTTGATTTTTTCGAGATTGTTGTTTGCAGGCTAATAAAGCCGCGGTCACAAGTTAGAAAATGTAACAGATGGACACCTCGTGCACTTGCGTCGCACAAGTTAGAAAATGTAACAGATGGACACCTCGTGCACTTGCGTCGTTTGTGCGTTCGACTTATCAAGTTTTCCGCAACCCAGATAATCCTGCTCTATCACTTCGCCCATATTTTTTGCACACTTGTTTAATAAAGTAAAAACTGACCGCAGTAATTTGCACGTTTATTTGAATGACTGACCAACAAATAATTTTACATTATTTTTATTTAAACAAAACGATTTCAAGAGCAGCATCGTCTCGACACGTGTGCTCTGCAATTCAAATATTAAATTTTGAGTCTCCATAAATCAGATGCACAACTAAACAAATTTCCCCCACATTTTGCTGCATTCACTCATCCACTTTGCCACTTTTTCTGTCCAATCCTGTTTCTTTGAGTTTTTCTGGTTGATTGATAAAACACTCCATATTATGACGTCAGCTAACGTCACGTGGTCATTTATGACGTAGGGACCAGACGATATGGTTAATTGGTTGTTCAGATCGTTGAGGAACTTTTTGGAACCTTCATCATCATAAGGGAAGTAAGCAGTGACACATTCATCTATTAATTCATCAATTTTACTGGCCGTCGTGTTGTCGAGTGTGTTGTAGAAGTACTCGAGTGACGAATTGTCGTCCGACGATTCTTCAATTAGTAAAGTAGGCAGCCACTTGGCGATGGTGGTCTCACCTTTGATGGTGACGTCATTGTTGATTACCATGAACATGTCCCTGGGATTGGGGCCTAAGTCTTGCCAAACGATGTGTACTTTTGAGAGTTGGATGTCATCGTAGTTGCTGTTAGCACTGGGGAAGATGTTTTTAAGTTTTGTCAGCTGACTACCGTCAAGATGTTGAAGCGTGATGGCCTCGATGGAGCATCTAACATGTTTATCGTATCTGACGATGTCCTTCAAGATGATGATCAGTGATAAAGGCACGTGTATCGGGTCGCAGTGTATAACTATTTTTTCAGTACAGCTGACTGTAGTTGCTGACATGTGATTATTTGTTAGATTTAAATCACCTGTGGGCAACATCTCGAGTGGGATCAACGCGTGCACACCCAACGGTTCGTTCCTGAGGTTGGTCAGCATGGAGGGAAGTTCCGGTTTTGTAGTCTTGGCAAGTTTGTTGAGATTTTCAGGATTGGTTTCTGACGAAATTGGATTACTAACTTGTTTAACGGATTGATTAACTGGCTGGCTGGTTTCATTTATTTGATTGATATCTTGGATCAGTGAATTCAATCGATTGATTAGTTGATCTTGTCTCATTTCGACAGATGATGCATCAAAATTTTTGGAGTTTTCAGTTTTCTGTCTGCCATCCATCGGTGGTCGTTTGCTTTCCTTGGGGAATTTGTGCATCAAGGTGATCGGACTGTCTGATCCTGAAAATGAATTAAAATATTTATCGTAAAATATATAAAAAGATTAAATAAAATATACAATTGCACTCGTTCATCCATATTTGTGTGTTAATATGCTGCATGAACACAACAACAAAAAATAAGTTGGATCAAAACAAAAATAAGAAAGGAAATATAATGTTTGCATGCATGCATGGGTTGTTCCACTGGATGTAATTGTAAAACTTGGTGACCAACTACTTAGCCAAGCTGTGGCTTAAGGATCTTCAGTTACCAATCATATAATCAATCATTGATCAATTAATTAATCAACGAACCAATCAAACAATTGACAATCAACCTCTCAATCAACAACAATCCTCTTTGTAGATATCAGTTTACAGGGCCAATGAGTTAGTGATGCAATATTTAACATTTTTGATATAAATTGGTTTGAAATCAACTTATGGTTTTGTTGATGTTAAGACAAAATCATTCTTAAATTTCAGTTGTGACCAGTTAGAAAGCCATCAAACAAACAAG